CCTCCTCCTCCTCCTCCTCCTCCTCCTCCTCCTCCTCCTCCTCCTCCTCTCCTCCTCCTCCTCCTCCTCCTCCTCCTCCTCCTCCTCCTCCTCCTCCTCCTCCTCCTCCTCCTCCTCCTCCTCCTCCCTCCTCCTCCTCCTCCTCCTCCTCCTCCTCCTCCTCCTCCTCCTCCTCCTCCTCCTCCTCCTCTCCTCCTCCTCCTCCTCCTCCTCCTCCTCCTCCTCCTCCTCCTCCTCCTCCTCCTCCTCCTCCTCCTCCTCCTCCTCCTCCTCCTCCTCCTCCTCCTCCTCCTCCTCCTCCTCCTCCTCCTCTCTCTCCCTCTCCCCCTCTGTCAGTCTCTCTCTCTCTCTCTCTTTCTCTCTTCGTCATCGCTATCCTGATGTTCCTTCTCGGTCTCCTGCTCTTCGTCCGCTTCCGGCCCTGTCGCCACTGCGACACACCATGGGGCTCGAGGCATCCGGCCGAGGGTGGGCACCCCGAGCAGCTCCTGGAGGTTCGGGGTGGGGACCGATCACGGGCACGGGAACTTCTTGAGCGCCCGAGAGTTCCACGATCATGCCTTGCCCGGGAGGTCTGGAGAGCGCGCCACCACGCGGGGGCAGAAAAGAGGGGGGTGATGACTATAGGGGGGGGTGAATATCATGGCGGGGGCCACGATAATTCCCCAGATTTCACGGCGCCTCTTCTTGTTTCATTACGTCCCTGGCCCCCCCGCTGGGCCGCGCACATGCCGCTGGTCATGATTTGCACCCCCCCCTCTTGGACACCCCCCTCTTGGCCGCTCCCGAACCACTGAAAAATGAAGAACCAGCATTGCCACGTCTGGCGCAGCTGCCTTGTAGATGCACTGTCGCAGGACCTCGGCGCCAACGAAGGAACGGATCTCGACCTTGACACACTCCGATTGCCCCGCCTCCCCTTCCTGTTTATGCTGCGTGAAACACGTCGGGCTGTCGGGCTGGAAGACGACCCCGACGCGCGCGTCCAGCCAGCCTGTGGCGATCAGTTCTGACGGTGCACAGGCCCGATCTCCCTGAACCATGAAGGCGCCTTCAAGCACCAAAAAGAGAGATCCTGCGTGCCACCTTCGGGTGGCGATCCTGGCCGTGGCGTTGCCGCTGCCGCATCCAGCCCCAGTGGAGATGAGGGAACTCCTTGGGCTGATTTGGAAGCATGCTGCCCACGATCGCCCGACCCCGTCCAGGGAGGTGCGGCCAGAGGAGGCACGGGCCGTCCTGCTTCGCGCGGCCTTCTCTGCCTCCCCATCCAGCCGATTCGACTCGATGGGCTCCCGCTCGGCGGTCCTGGGGAAGCCCAGCCTGCCGTGGGTTCCGTCCGCCATGCCGCATCGCTGGGAAGGTGAGTGGAAGGGCCAGATGGTGAGGTCACCGACGTCGACGGCGCCACCGATGCCGTCACAGAGAGCGAACCTCCAGCTTGCTCCTGCCGACGCCGAAGTAGGTGCCCCCCCGCTGACGATGCCGTCGAAGGAGCGCTGTCGGTTCACCCTGGACGATCGTGCGGGGACTGCCGCCTGTCGGCATCGCCACCGGGCAATCCCCACGCGATCTCGGCTCGCCCGCGCTGTCGAGGCTCGCCCCGCCAACTTAAACTGACACCACTCCGTCGTCATCGTCGTCGTCGTCGTCGTGCTCGTCGTCGTCCTCGTCCTCGTCCTTGTCCTCGTCGTGCTCGTCCTCGTCGTCGTCCTCGTCGTCGCCGTCGCCGTCGTGGTTCGGCCCGCGGTGTGGAACGCCGCTCTCATGCACGACGGGGGACCGGTGCAACGGGCGGCGTCGCCGAGGCGCGGCGCGCTCTGGTGACCGGCGGTGCCGGCGCAGGTCCCGCAGCCGCAGCGCCTGCGGGCTGGCCAGCGCGAGCGCCAGGCGCCCCACCTCGAGGCCCAGCAGCCCTTGCCGCCGCAGCCCTTGCCGCAGCCCCCTCTCTGAACTGGAGTCGGGCAAGAGTCTCCAGCGCGCGCTCGCCCTCCTCGGACTGCGCCGCGCTGGGATCCAAGCCAGCCATGCCGACGCCGACTCGGTTTGCGACCCCCTCGAATTTGAGCTTGCGCAGCACCTCGGTGCGGTGCTGAAGGTCGACCTCGGCCTCCCCCAGCAGCTGCTTGGCATAGACGTTCGAATTGGCAATATCCTCCTGCTGCTTCTCCAATCGTGGAGCTTCTCGACCTTCTTGGTGGCGTTCTCGACCCTATGGCTTGCCGCCAAGGCCAGGGGGGGATTCGAGCTCCTCGACCTTTGCCGCCTCGCCTTGCGAGATGGCTGCCGAATCGATGTTGTGCTGCTCGAGGAAGCCGAACACCTGCGCGCGAACGAGAGCTCTCCCCTCCCCCCCGCCACTGGTGTCACTGGAATGGCTCGAGGCCCCCTCCGTGCTTGCTGCCGACCGTGGGAGCCGCGAGCTGTGCCGTGAGTTCCTGGAGCTCCTTCACCGTCCCCCCGGGCGGTCCGCCTGCCCTCGCGCGGAGGCCGCAGGCCCCTTTGCGTGTGGGCGAGCGTGACTTGGACTGTGCTCGGGCGGGCACCCGGGCTCGCTGGGGGGGGGGCTCCTCCACCACATCTACGGCATTTGAGCCGACTGGTCCAGTCAGTTGCCGCTCCCCACATGCTTTTGCCGCACCCACCCAGGGCGGGAGCTTGGAACCTGGCAGTGCATCAATACATCTCCGTGCTGCGTCCCCGCGAGCCTGGTCCAGAGCACTCGCGCGAAAGCAGGGGAGGCCGGGAGGAGAGGGAGAGGAGGGACGTGGAGGGAGAGGTCTTCTCCTCCTCCTCCTCCTCCTCCTCCTCCTCCTCCTCCTCTTTATCCTCCCCGTTCTTGTCCTCGCTTCTGTTCTGTGGAGGAGGAAGGGGGAGGAGGAGGAGGAAGAGGAGGAGGAGGAGGAGGAGGAGGGTGGGCGCAACGAGGGCTGCCGGTTTGCCCCACGCACGCCCGCGCTCGGGCTCTCTGTGCCGCGCTCCAGGTCCGCCACCCGGAGCCATTTTGGCTCCAGCGCGCTCGAGCACGTGGCAGGGCAGGGCGTTTCGCCCTCTGCTGCCTCTCGCCGCACGCAGCCGTGGCCGCACCCGTAACAGAGGTGGCAGCTCCGCTCTCGGAGCCGCGGGCAGTGCCAAGGCCTGGCATCGCTCGGACGTGTGCATTTTTTCCCGGAAAGGGCTCAGGCCCAGGGTTCTCTTTTAGTATGTAAACATAGTCCCCCGTGCCCAACTTGGAGGAGGCCGGCGGATTCTTTCCCTGATAAATATCGAGGTCGAAGGAGGCCGGCGGATTAAAATTTGAGGATGTCTCAGGCGAAACGCTTGTTTTTGAAATCCCGATCGATAAATCACAGGGTGCGGGACACCTCAGCACGACCACACCCCAGCACGACCACACCCCAGCACGACCACGCCCCAGCACGACCACACCCCAGCACGACCACACCCCAGCACGACCACACCCCAGCACGACCACACCCCAACACGACCACACCCCACCACGATCACACCCCACCACGACCACACCCCAGCACGACCCGATCGATGAATCACAGGGTGCGGACCACCCCAGCACGACCACACCCCAGCACGACCCCACCCCAGCACGACCCCACCCCAGCACGGACAGCACCCCAGTCACGACACCCCAGCACGACCACCCCAGCACGACCACCCCCCAGCACGACCACACCCCAGCACGACCACACCCCAGCACGACCACCCCCAGCACGACCACACCCCAGCACGACCACACCCCAGCACGACCACACCCCAGCACGACCACACCCCAGCACGACCCCACCCCAGCACGACCCCACCCCAGCACGACCCCACCCTAGCAAGACCACACCCCAGCACGACCACACCCCAGCACGACCTCACCACAGCACGACCACACCCCAGCACGACCACGCCCCAGCACGACCACGCCCCAGCACGACCACGCCCCAGCACAACCACCCCCCAGCACGACCACCCCCCCAGCACGACCACACCCCAGCACGACCACCCCCCAGCACGACCACACCCCAGCACGACCACTCCCCAGCACGACCACACCGCCTTGGTTGAGTGGTTGCCTGTCGTCGTGGAATGTTTCGTGGGGTGTCTCGTGGAATGTTTCGCGGGGTGTCTCGTGGAATGTTTCGTGAGGTGTCTCGCGGAATGTTTCGTGAGGTGTCTCGTGGGATGTTTCGTGAGGTGTTGCCCCGTTGGGTATCGTGAAAACGTGCCCATGCTCCACATGTCTATATCCCTTTCCGGGTTCGTGGGTCCATCATGTTCTCGGCGAGGGCACTCGAGGAGCATACTGTGCCATTTTGCGGAAAAAAAAAAAAAAAGAGCACGCACGGGGAATGGTCGTCCGAGCGATGGCAGGAAGGGGGGTCCCCTCCAGGGGGGGGCCCTGGACCCTCGCGCCGTGGAAGGCACGCGGCGGATGCTTCTGCTGCGCCTGATGCGGGCCAGACCTGTGTCCAGATCCACTGCAGCTTGGGATTCTCGGGCTCCCTTCAGAAACCCGAGGCGCACTGGATACGAATGCAAGTATGATCCCCAGAGGCTCAATTGTTAGTCATATCCAGAGCGCCTCGGCCTTGTAGCGCCCACTGCAAAAGAGACCGAGACGCTTTGGATACGGATTTACAGATTGCCCACATCTGAGGGCCCTCCCCAGGCCTCAGAACCGTCGACAGAACGAGTCAGGATGAGAAGTCGGATTTGCGGACAGCGCCGGGACTTCGGGGGCCCCGCATTGAAGAGTCAAGGCGCCGGATCACTGGGCAGGGGGCCGCACGGACACCCTTCGTCGATGCAGGGCAGGGGGATTGCTTGGACCATCTTTGGGGGCCTGGGGAGGGTCTCGAGGAGGTTCCTGGGTGTCCTCTGCCTTGAGGAGGCGGCGACCCCGCCCTGGCGGTAACATGAACGAGTACGAGCACATCTATGTCAAAAAGAGGAAGGACTTCGGTCGTTACTGTAATTTCGACGATGTCGAGTCGAAGATGCTGGGCGCGATAGAAGAGAACCACAACTGCGGCGACATGTACGTCGAAAAGACCATACACGACGTCGTACTGGACAACATCCCAAAGTTCTCGGAGCACTCGGTCAACACCGCCAAGGTGAAGCTGCAGAACCAGACAATGAGCCATACCGAAGGCCCTTCGTCCTGGGAGATATAGAACACGCGCAGCCGAGGCGCGTGTGCGGCGTTTCTGGCTACATGGTTTCTAGAGTTTGATCGATGATACGTTTTCTGCGGTTGAATAACTAGCCCCCATCAAAGCTTCTTACGATCCCTCCCACAGGAGGCTGGCCGAAGGAGATCGACCACATGGAAGCGCAGGATTGTCTAAAGTTCATCAAGCGCCTTGAGAAGGACCCGTCGTACAGCGCGGCAGTCAGGCAGTTAACGGTGCAGACAACGAAGTGTTTGGAGCAGAACAACACTATCGATTTGTTTGAGCATTACTTCCACATGGAGGAGCCCGAGCACATGCCCGAGTCGTTGACAATGAAGACAGTGGCCTTATTCAAGGACCCCTGCGATGAGAAGCGTAGTGTGACCAAGATTGGCTGGCACCCAGAGGGCCCCACTAAGCTTGTCTGTTCTTACTCCAACCTCCGGTTCCAGCGAATGACCGACGAAATGCCCATGAACTCGTTCATTTGGGACATCTCTGAACGCAACGAGCCACTGACTGAGCTGAGGACGTCTTCGCCAATGGTCTGCTGCGAGTACAACCAGAGGAACCCCGATTTCTTAGTCGGAGGCTGCTACAATGGTCTTCTCAACTTCTTCGACCTCAGGACACATGCAAAAAATGTGGCAGCGCACACTCCGCTCAGGAAAGTATACTTCGTGTGTCGCGCCCTCCCTTGTGGCCGACCTCGCTTCGGCACGACACGCGAACCTCGTCCCAGATTCCAAGCATAAACGCGCCGATCGTTTCCGAGCTTCTCGCCCCGTGAAGCGGAGCGACACGCTATCCACTTGCAAGGCTTGCTCGTTGACCCAAAGTTCTTGAGCGTAGTATCAAACAGGTTGAATACCACAGAATGTGTTGAAGTTTTAGGCCTCCAGTTCACAATCGATGAGCGTGTTACGCAGGAGTTGAGGTAATGTTGCTGTTCTGTCCTTCAGGAAGGGGCCAGCCCCTGCGACGAAGTCTACCGTGGAGGTGTCTCATTGGGATCCCGTCTACGACGTGAAGTGGATGCAGACCAAGACCAATTCCGAGTGCGCTTCCGTGTCGTCGGATGGCCGGTTGTTGTTTTGGGACGTGCGCAAGATGGACGAAGTCCTCGACGAGTGCGTATTGACGGATGGTGGCAAGGAGGCCAAGACGTTCGGCGGCGTCTCGTTGGAGTGGATGCAGGAGGCTGGCCCATCGAAGTTCCTCGTAGGAACGGAGCACGGCATCATCCTCTCGTGCACCAAAAAGCCGAAGAAGAACGTGGAGGTGTCCACCTGGTACGGGCAGGAGGAGAAGGGCGGCTACGGCCGGCACTTCGGCCCCGTCTACTCCGTGAAGCGCAACCCTTTCCACGTGACGTGCTCAGATGACCCTTGATACATCAATCGGTATTCGGCAAAGCTCAGGAGGGAAAACACACACAGACACAATTAGTCGTCGATCCCCCAAAACATATGGGAAAATATGGGAAGTGGGGGGGGAAGGCCAAAACCCAGAAAATATGGGAACAGATTGGGAATCCTGTTATTTGTGTATATTTATTTAATCGCTTCGATATTTGGAGCCTCTTGGGGCCGTCTTGGGGGCCTCTTGGGGGCTTCTTAGGAGCGTCTTGGGGCTCCTTGGCCGCGTCTTGGGCTCCCCTGGGGCCTCTTGGGGGGCTCTTGGGGGCCCCTTGGGGCGGGAGGGGGGATAGTCGATTGCAGCCACCCCCTCGGAGGCCACGATCCTCGTGAGGGGTGGCGCAAAATAGCCTCCCCCCTGCGGATCGCCCGGGACCCGGCCGGCCGGGATCGGCCGGCGTTTTTTTCGTCCGGGGGCCCCCAGGGGCCGCCCCGCGCGCGCGAACTAGAAATATTGTTAAGTAGTTACCGGAGATCTTAGCACGCCTCTGGCCCGGAGGGCCGGCGCATTTGTGTGTCCCAGGGCCCCTTCGATTCGGCAAAGCCGCGGGCCATGCCGATCCCGTCCATCGATCGGGCTCGGGGAGGCCGATGAAGCCCTCGATGCGCGGGGCGCCCTGCATGTCGGGGGTGTGATCGAGCCACGTCGGATGAGGGTCGGGGGGTCGGGCCGTGGATCAGCCTTGTCGACCGGGGCACGGCTGTGAGGTGAAGTACTTCCTGAGCGTGGGGGACTGGTGCGCCAAGCTGTGGATGGAGGATCGAGGAGGAGAAGCCACAGAGGCATCAATGAACTGCCAAGTCGGGCACGAAGAGTCAAGAGTGGTAAAAAAATGGTCTGGGCACGACTGTTCCTGCTCTTCTGACTGTTTCTGCACATGGTTTGACTGTTTGCCATTTCT